GGATAGCAGCGTGTTGCTCAGGGGATAAATAACCCATTAAAGACACACACCCTCCTTAAATCGAAAGAGGACCAAACTCCCCGAGGAGCGCCGCGCCCCCTCCGTCGCACCGCCTCCGCCTTGCGCGGCGGGTCCTCCCCGGGGCCGGGCCTGCCGAGCTCGGTGGAGCCGCGCCCCGCCCCGCCGCGGGGGCCGCCGGGCGCCCGGGCAGGTGAGGGGGCGGGCGGATCGGGAGCAGGAGCAGGACCGGGAATGCGGCTGCGGGGTCGGGGCGGGCACATCGGCCGTGAGGGCTCGCCCAGCCCCGGCCGTGGACTCGGGGGCCGCGCGTCCCCGCGGGCAGCGTGTGAGGGAGGCCCTGCCCGCGGCCGCCGCCGGCGCTGGTGATCGCCCTCGCCGCCTGCTCTCGCTGCGCTCATCAGAGAGGTGTCAGGCTGGAGCGGGGACGCCCTTCAGGCAGCGTGTCTCCCCCGGGCCTTCGCACGCTGGGCTGTGCAGCCCTGAGGGAATGCGGGCGCGCAGGGCTCTCTGCCTTTACGTGCATATTCCTGCTTCGCTTGCGAGGCAGCAGCGTCAGGCGAGTGTTTGCCCTCGGAGACTGTGGTACGCCGGTCCCCGTGCAGTATTAAGGCCAGGGTTATTCTTTCTCTGAAGTTTGCACTGACTTTGACTCGGGCAGTACTTGCAAGGTATGAAACCTCAGTTTCAAGCAGAGGCCAGTGCAGCTTTTACTACAGCTGTACGAGTTTGTAAGTATCCGTGGTGCCAGTGCCGCTGGCAGCGCTGTGCTCTTACAACCTCCATCGAGCAGCTTCTGATGCAGCAAACTGTTTTGAAGGCATAGCTGAAACAGAATTATAATGCAAAATCATAGTGTTCATTTCTCTGCAGCGTCTTAATGTTGTGTGAGCAGAACGTATGTTAGCCAAAAGTATATCAGCGGTCTTAAAGTACCGATAATCAGAATTAAATTTTAAGTAGCTCTGCAGGTAAACTGCTGAGCCGAGGTCAGCAAAAAGGGGGATCTGGGTGATGTTTAGTGGGGTTAGGTTTGAAGAAACTGAAGGGGAGGACAGATTTTTGAGAAAGAAAGCAGTTAGCATTACCTTTGGTGATGCTGGAAAGCTGGGGAGAACTGAAAGCATAGCCTCCAGATAATGGGGTTCACCTTAAATCATAATTGCCTGTCAGTATTCAGGCTGACCCTTGACATGTTGCTGGGGGCAATGTGGACAGAAAATCCATGACCCTGGAACGATGCTGTGACTTATAGGAGCTACTGGTTGTATTTGTTTTAAACTGTGCAAATCTAAGATCTGATAACTGAAAGCAGAGTTACATATCTTGCCTTCTGGGTTCATGCAGATAACAGCAGTTCAGAGACAAGAAATGCCGGGAGCTGTTATGCTGAGAATTTGCTTTGCCTTCTCAGTTGCTCTTTGATTTGACCATGGTTATGAGAATGCTGACTTTAGGTGGACCAGTGAGTTCTGCTTGCAGTTTAGTACAGAATGCAATTTCAAGTGTAAAATAGCAGCACAGGGATGCATGTCTGACTGAAAATGTCAAGGAGGGAAGGGAAGAAAAATCCCAGAACTCTTGCTGATAATTTAGTCTCAATTAATTTGCAATTAGCATCCAGCTTTTATGTAAAATTGAAAAAAAATAACCCTGAGAACAACCAAACAAGGCAAACCTCTAAGCAACCATCAAATTTAGAAAGTGTATTGTGTGTGATAAGGAGATCCATGTTCTGTGATTGATTCCATAAGCACCTTTAATAGCCTTCTTGAATGGGAGATGAGTTTTCTGCAGTGGCCTGATGCTATCAGGACCAGGCATTTAGATTTGGTTTTCTTTACCAGCAGTTCAGCTGTCTTGGACTCCAGGTTTTTCGAGACATAGTTGAATTTTTCTAGCATTTATTATTCTGTCTTAACATTGTTTCTGGGAAAGCAGCAGCGTAACCCAGTAGCTATAGCTGTGTAAATGATCAGAAATGGAAATGGTCATTTTGCCCAGTTACACCATGTATAGATACACTTACTAGAAAAGGGGAAAGAATATTTCCTTTGTCGTTGAGTGGGAAGGTGGAAGTTAGCTTCTGTGCACTACTTTCAAACGTGCAATTGCAGCATTTTCTGGAACAGTTCAAGTTCTTCACTGCTATTTGCATGCTCACCATAATGTCATATACACATTCAATATAAAGAAAATTCACTTAATTAGAAATCAGGGATAACACACAGTTTCCACATAATTCCACACCATCCATGGACAGCTTTGCTTTCCTTACAGCATGCTGGAAATGGGCAGAGCCATCAGACAGGGATTTCTTGTTCACATGGTAGCTAGGGGCTTGCAGGTGCTACTTGAGGAATACTTTGGCCTAGCTTTATGTGCTCTGGGAAAGAGGAGTGTCAGCACCAGGCTGCCTTTGTCATTCCAGCAGGAGCTGTTGGTTACCCTCTTCCTCCTGGCTGATTTGGAGCATTGGAGGCTGGTGATCCCTGGGATAGTCAGAGAGGCAAAATGTTGTGTCTTGCATGGTGCAGGTGAGAAAAAGAGGACTTGATGTGCCTGGCACTTATCTGGCACACGAGTCCAAGCTGGGAAGTACTACTGAGCACTGTGGTAGAAGTAGTGACAAGTCCCTGGTGGCTGTGAAATGCCATATTGAAGTAGCCCAGTGAAGACATGTTTGGGCAGCCTCTGTGCAGATCTTGACCCAGAATACCCCTACCACTCCACTGTGGAAAAAATCCCCCTGAAAGGAGAAGCTTCTGCTCTGGTGCTGTGTCTAGGGGGAAAAAAGTAGTCTTGCAGGTCTATTCAATTTGTGTATCTAAGAAGAAAAACATCTAGAGGGCATACTTGAGCAGATATTTTTAATCACTGTTAGCTGGGCTTTCGTTTTAACAGTGACACTATGATATGACTAACTCAAGGAAAACAACAAACAGCCTCTTTATTGTTACAGGATTGCTCTTGGTAGGGGAGTAACCCGAAGAATTGCTTTACGGTGAAGACAGAAACAGAAGTCTAGTGCAAACACTACGGTGTATTTAAATAGCAAATGCTTAATTTCACCCCAAGGCATTGTCCAGGGGTCCAGGACTGTGACCCATTACCATCAGGTAACCTACTGCCTTGAACAGAGAACTGTCTTGAAACCGGTACAGATGTAGAAAAATTTTATGGCATGTTGAAATGGTCATCCCTATTATTTTTTTTATAACCCCTAAAACGTAACAGAACTTTGCCATCGTATATAATAAAACTTTGTTCAAGAAATCTCAGAAGGACACTGCAGCCAGTGTAAATATTTTTGCAGTTAGGGGGAAATTGCAGTACTTGGGCAGTGGTTTACAATTAGGGTGGAAATCTATACATATGCCTTTACATGTGTATATTTCTGTACATATTTGTATAAAAAAGAATACACTCAGTCTGGATATGAACCCATTTGTTGGATAAAAGATGTTTGGGTCTGTGTGCACAAAACTAGCTTGACTGCACTGCAAGTGAAGGTTGGTAATTACTGGATTCCAATGGGACCACTGTACTCAAACATGAGAAAGAAAAAAAATCAGTATTCTGCTTTGCTGTGCTCAATCATATGAAATAAAAACAAAAGGAGGCCCAAGGGCCCTGTGTAACCTAATTCTAAATTGTAGCAAAGGAAAATATTAAAAAAATGTTCTAATAACTCCAGAAGGCCTTTGTGAATCAGAACACTGAAGCCCAGGAAGTTTTCCATGCACAAAGACAGATTGGTCCTGGTGCAGCATCAATATTTTGCCCTGTGAACTTAAGAACAAAAAGAAAAGGAAAAGATACTGAATAAATATGCAATATTTGAAGTTGGTAAAGTCTATTAAAATATATATGTAATGACTTACTGATTCAGGGGGTTCTCCTCTGAATTTTTCTGAATAAGAAGAACATTAGACCAGAACTTTCCTGTTTTTAAGATTTGGAGGCATCATCTTTCTGCAATACAGTATGCAGCTAGCTTTAAATAAAAGAGTAAATCCATAGAAAGCAGTGTGGCTGTGAAAGGAGAAAAGAACTCTCACAGAACTCTGTTGTTGTAGCTAAAATCATGATTACAAAGCTTTTCTTTTCCTTTTCCATTAGTATCCACAGCTGGGATTAAGGTGTGTGTACTTTAAAGCTTCAGCTTTTGAACGTGGTTGGTAGTAGCTCCTACTTTTGGTTTGTGGAACTCATCTCAAGGTGTCTTTTTAATATCTTTGTGTGATAGGTATTAAACTGACCACAGAAACAAAAGACAGCCAAGATGATGGATCACATTGAAAGGATTTTTGAATAGATGGGTCTGAGTACACCCTTTGTGAAAAACAGATGATGAATATCCCTGAAGGTCTAGGTAAGTAGGAAGGGAGGGGAGAATCATCTTAATATTGTCCTTTTGCTGTCCTGAGTCCTTCAGTAAGAAGCTGCTCTTCGGGGTGTTTTAGGGACTCCGCGACAGCGTTCTCCCTCCCTCTGATGATTTTGTTAAAGAACCTGTCACCAAACACTGGGAAATAAGCTCTCCAAACAGTTTGTTAGGTTAGAAAGTCAATGTTACTTTATTCAGCACTGAGGTACACGGGGGATCACTCCACCTAGCACGTACACAGATTATCAAAACTTATAACTATTTATACTTTTAACTATTGTTTTAGCAAACAAAGGAATAAGTGTTGATTGGCTGCAAGTTACATAGTTCTCCTGTTAATTAGTATTCTGCCTTCTATTTGTTAGTGATTTCTCACTTCTCATGGTAATTAGTCCACATTTCCAGTCTTTTTATTATCTTTTTTCCCGGATAGGGAGAGTTTCAGTACAATTGCTATGTTGTCTTTGTTATTTTTTTCCTTTGTCTTTGTTTTCTGCAAAATGTCCATGAAGTCTATATAAATTCTGCATTCCTGGTGTCCAGTTCTCAGCACTATCCCTCTCTCCTGTGCTCTGTTAACTTCCTCCCCCAGGTCTGAGAGCACCAACGCGTGTCAAGCCCTAAACTTTAATTTGTTTTCCTGACACATGGACATCACCCAGAGCTTTCCCGTGGGCTGCTGTCTGTTTCAGGGATTAAATCTCTCCTCAACGTTTTTCCCCACTGCGGCATAGACGCCTTTTTAAAGGAACATAACCTGTTTTGTAACAAGCCCAAAATGTGGAGGGCGGTGGTTAACGCCCTGTCGAGGGCCAAAGTCCCCGGAGGCCAAGCATTCCGCCTGCTCCCTGGGAGCACCCACTGCTGCCAGGGTGCCGTGCCGGGGCTCCACACCGCCCGGCAGCTCAGCATGAGCCCGGGGATACAGAAGGTGGAAGCTTTGGACGCGGGCCATTTCGTCCGTGTGGAGTGGGAGGATGGAAGCGAGAGCCGCTACCCCTGCGTCTGGCTGAGGGACAACTGCCAGTGTCCCCTCTGCTTCCTGCCCTCCGCCGGAGCGCGCAGGCTGCTCTTCGAGGACCTGGATGTGAACATCGTGGTGAAGGAGGTTGCCCTGGCAGATAGAAAAAAGGTATTTGAAGCGAACTGTCATTCACCTTCTTGTGAAACTTGTCTAGCAACGCTTAGAGACAGCTCCAGCTTATACTCTAACCACAGTTTGCTTGTCTGCGACCCTCGTCAGGTAATTTGCAAAGCTTTTAGGAAAAAAACGCAATTTGGGCAACTCGCATCTCCCCACCCTCGTATGAAACTTCACTTTATAAAGGCTGCAGAAACCCAGGCTTCAGCTTTTATAATATAATAACACTTTTGAAAATTCTGCTGTATGCTTCTGCATCACCAGATGTTGAAAGGAAAATTCAGGCGTTTCCCGCACATTTAATTACTCTTACACTTTTTTTCTCTCTCTTTGTTCCTTAAGTAAATGGCTTGCAAATCAGAAAAACAAATGGCAAAGTGACAATGACTTAATCCATAGCAAAGGTACCAGTTTATTAGCTAATTTCCAATGCACAAAAGTCTTCATCTTAGAATGAGCACTCAAGCTGAAGTTGAATCCACTAATCAGAATTGGCCTAGTGTCTGTATCTACCTATCTACATTAACATTTGTTCCTGGAAAACAGGAGGTTATTGAGCAAGAGGAGACAGGAATTGCCCTCCCTATGATTTTTAATATTTCCTACCATATAAAAAACTATATAATTTAGGTTTTATATGTTTTATTAAAAGAAGCACCTGGCTCCTTTGGCAAACTCGTTTCCTTCATTTTACACTTAAAGATGTTTTAAATGTGTTGAATATGCAGCAGTCAGCCCTGGGGCAGCCTCACTGCAGGGGCAGTTTGCAGAGGATAAACTGTGCAGGAGTGTGTCTCAGCCACAGCATAAGGATCTCTGGTGAGGAATTCTGGGCTCCCAAGGTCATTGTTTGTTACCAGAATTAACACAATGTAAATTCATTATTCTATTAGGAAAATTAGGGATTGTGTGTTCCACTCAGGGACTGATGAAAGCATAGCACTAATCAATCCTAAACTGACAGTGGTGATTTACCATCATGTGAAAGAGCAGAATTATGTGAAATGGGAATGATACCTACTCAACAGCCCTGAGAATTCAGCTCAGGGTCTGTGCTGGACTGAGCTCTTTCGTTCATGACAAACAAAACCATATCCTTTCTTTCCATGTTTTTTTCAGGATTTAAGAAGTACAACACTTTTTAAAAACTTATTTAAAAAGAGGAAAGACTTTTCAAAAGTAGGAGAGGGATTTCTCTCCTAGCATTTCTTTTTTGCCTCTCTGTCTTGTTCTTTTTCTTTTCTCACAATCTGTCTGTTTTGCAAGATATTTTCACTCTTCTGAGTTGTGGTGAAGTGCTCTCCCCAGAGATATGTGCCAGTTTCTGCCTTTTCCTTCTTCCCTTTAAGTGCAGCTCCCACAGTGAAACCAGCAAATTAGGTCATGGATTCATGTGAAAATGAGCATTTATAAAAGGTGTCAGAATTTGGATGATGTTCAGGTTATGTTTTCATTAGTTGTTTGCTGTCACATTCCAGGGAATGCTTAATTGTAATATTACCGATCTAAATATTACAATTTCTGCAATTTCTAAGAGGGTGTTTTTTGTTGTTCTAGGCCATGTTTTTTAATCAATTTTTTTTCTTCTAAGCTTGTCTTTTGCTTTGTGTTGAAAGGTCTCCATCACGTGGCCTGATGAACACGCAAGCGAATATGAAGCTGAGTGGCTGAAAAAACGATGCTTCTCTGAAGAAGCCAGAGCAGAAATGCAAGCAGATTTATTTTTACCAGGTGGGAATTAAATCCATGTCTGTCATGCTTGTGTCAAATGCAAGACAGTCCTGGCTACAGGTGCCTGTGTGAGGACCAGGTCCACCCAGCTGGAGCAGTGGCAGCCACCCTTGGTGCCCAGTGCCAGGCTGTATGTGCACAACAGGGACCCGTTGTTACCTTTCCCAACCTCTGTACCTGAGAGAAGTGTAACTGTTTGGGCTGCATTTACTTTCCTAAAAGCCTTTTCTTTCTAGGATAGGGTTAGTAGGTCTCACAAATGAACCTTGTGGACCGACAGTGTCCTATGTGACAATGCAAGTGTGTGTGTGTGTGTGTGTGTGCTGTTTAAACTATTTAATTTTTTCTAAATTTTTCCAAAAAGAAAGATTATTTAGAATTGCAAGAGAGCTATAATTGAAATATTTTTTTCCCCTTTCTGTGGCTGCCTTGTTAAAAAGTAACTGTGTAGTGTAGCAGTGTGCAGTGCTGAAGTTCAGGTTGTGTTTGCTTTGCATCCCACACATGTTGCAGTAGTTGACAGTCTTTTGGTCACAAAGCGTTTTGTGCAACTGTCTGTGACATTTACCCACTCTAAATCACTTACCCTTTTGAGTGAATAATGTAAACCCACTAGGATTGGCATGATGCACATCCTCATTTCTTTGACAGCCTTTCAGACTGTGAGAATCAAACGTGTGAAAACTTGCAAGATTTCTGCTGTTGCTCTTAACTGTGTTCCTGTGAGATTTGCTGTTGCAGAAAGCTGTGCATCTGTATTCAGGGTTAAGACAGTATCTGTTAAAATAGGATATTACTTTAGAAAAAAAGAAACTAGAGGTAGGCTGATGGTGTGAAACTCAGATCCAGGTATGAGTTTCCTCAGAGCTTAGCAAAGGCAAATCCCCAATTGGTTTATACCCTCTTTTTGGGTGTTTTATATTCTAACAAATAAAAGAAAGTTGGTTTGTGTCATGGTTTTTTCCCTCAAATATGAGAAATGGGAAAATATGTCGCCCTAGATCTGTCCTGCATCTGAGCTGTGTTTGGCATTTTAGGGACAAATGAAGAGGCCAGTTATATTTCCCAGTTTCTACAGGTCAAATATTCCTTAGCACCCATTCTCCTAAACAAAAGCCAGCCTTTTATATCTGCTTTAAAACTTAAGTGATGAGTAATATTTCCATTCATTTCAGTGGATCCTATAACAGACTCTTCATAGTTGAGAAAGGAACAGTTTTTCCCTGGTAATATAAAAGTTTGTACCTATTTTAGTTTTGGCAACAATAAACTGCTGTGTTTACTATTTTGAAGAGCTGGGCATGTTTCCAGACTGAACATGGTGAAGATGCAAACCTCATTCAGGGAAACTAGGCTTGATTTCTCAGGGAGTTGAATTTTTATTTGTAGAAATGAAGATGCTGTGGAAACTAGCAGGCTACAAAACTCCTTTTGTAGCCTCTAAGGAATCAATGTAAATTGAGCATTGCTTTAATTAATACCCAGGCAAAATAATCTAGATCTCTGGTTATATTTATTAACAAAGGTATCAATAGCTGAGATTTCAGTAGCTGAGATTTCAGTATTTCAGATGTCATGCTACTTTTTTCACCTGTTATGAAGTCTAACTGGCTGTGATTTACCTTCATTCATTCATTTGCACAGAACTTACTCCTGGCTTCTAAATACAAAACATGTTTTGGAAGCCAGTTCTCCCCTTTGCCACTGCTCTTCTCCAGTAGAGCCATCCAGGTAAAAAATATACACCAAAGATCTGTTTTATTTTTTGGGCAGTGCTTTTTCAAATTCTGTTTCACATGGTAGATGTGAAGAAATATGTTTATAAAAATTATGCTAATTAACTGGCTTTTTTTAGTAGTGTAATTCTACTCTTCCTCATATTCTCAGAAAAGCTTTGGCTCATTATGATGGACAGCTTTTCCCAACTTTTCCCAGGTTTCAGTTGCAAAAAAAAAGGCTGCAGCCTGTGAGTTTGCTTGCTGGCTGGCTAAGATCTGTTTCTCATTGTGCATTGGGGTAAGTTTAGAACTCCCTTCCTTGTGGTCAGGGGAGTTACACACTGCAAATTACATGCCCTTAAGTAACTAATCATATCCCAGCAGTGTAGGATTACAGACAATGATATGGAATACCAGCCCTGCATGCTGGTTCAACAAATAGAAACCCAAGCTCACCAGACTGCTGTAGTTAAAGGTTAACCTTCACTGCTGACATTGTCACAGCAGTGGCTATTTCTTTTCTATTTTCTTTTGCAAGTGGTTACTTGCTTTTAATGTTGCTTTTTTGTTTTTGTTTTCTTTTTTTAATGTTTTTCTGTCATGGTTTCTGATTCAAAAACCCTAAATGTTGGGCATTGTATCAAACCCAAAAAGAAGAGTAGGTCAGATTTTCAGTGCATGATGAAGTGACTGTAAGTAGCTGTGTGGCAATATGTCAAGGTTCCCCTTTTAAAACATTGCTAAATCCTATCATGCAATATGCAAAATCTCCTATTTGTGTATATCAAGGTTCATTCCATCCCAGCTTACAAAAATACTCCCAAAAGAACAGCAGAAGAGCCATGTTCTACTTCTCCAGCTATAGTCTCAAAGATACTCTCCTTTTCCTTCCTGTTTCCTTTTGTTCTCCCCAGCAAATGTCACAGGAATGTTTTACCACCACTGTGACTCAGATGCTGTGTGTAGTAGAGGGTGCTTGTGAGAGACACTGAGTATGCCAGTATCCAGTCTCTCACTGCATTGCATTTGCTGAGGCTCATTTTCCAGGATGCTGGTATCCCAACAACAGGATGTGAGGGGAAAAAAATTAGGTAATGTCATAATATTTTCCTACTGAGTGGAAGAAAAGATTGTGCAGAGGTAGTACCTAGTGCTACTTACTGTTTTTAACCCTAGGTTTAGGTTAAGGTTTTAACATAAGTTTAAAGGTTTCAGATGATGATTGTCCTTTAAAATGTGATATGATTTTGGATATATATCCAGCTCCCACTGAAGTTTGAATCAGGATGTTAACAGCATCAGTGATATTTTCAGTTTCTCTGCTAGGTTCTGAGAGATGAAATTTTAAGAGGATGAAATTAAATGTAATTTTTTTACTAGAAGAGTTTGGTCATTTGAATTTATCCTGCAGTAGTAATCAATAAGAGCTTAATGCCATGAGTTAGGCTGCCATACACATAACAGTACAGCAGAAATGCACTTGGCTTTCAACAGACACTAAAACACAAGCTGTACACAAAATAATTTTAGATGAAGTGAGTTAATCTATGATGTCTAGACTTTCTTTCCTATATAACTTCAGCATAAGAGGTTTTGACCAGCACTGTCCCAGCCTGCACAGTAAATGCTGGATAATTCCAAGTGTTTATTGATGCATGCACACCGTCTGCAGGGACTGGGCAAAGGACACCTTCTCATTTTGTGCAGACTCTAAATGTAGGTGATTTACTATAACTAACTTGGTATGATCAAGAAATAGGATTCTTTTTTCTCTTTTCCCTCCCCAAATTATTGTTCTAAAATTGAAAGAGGCGTTAATTCTTTCAGAAGTATTTAATTCTTCCCATTTTGAAAATCTGGGCTTTTAGTTGTCTTAATATAAACGGACAGTAAAACCAAAAAGTAATTCTACAAGGCCTTTGTTTTTATGCCTTATTGAGTTGTTCAGCTGCATTTGTAAACATAAAGATTTTTAATTTGGCAACTGCAGCTGTGTTGTGCAAGTGAGACCCAAGGCTGCCCAAATGCTGATGGCTCATTCCTATCTTTCTTACCTCTTCAGCCTTCAGAGAGTATGTTGTAATATTTCTACTGTAGTACCATGTAAACTGGATTAACTACAATTATGCAGTAGGAAAAATCCTGCTATGCTGACTTGATAAATTTTCAGGCTGAAGAGGTTTTGTGGATAAAGATGGGAAGAAAGTTCCTGTTGTTTGGTATGTAGAAGAAAAACGTGGGGGGCACACAAGTTTCTAAGACTTTCAGATAGACGCTTTAAAAAATTCTGTTAAATGAAAGAACTTAAATGTCTTCACATCACAGGATCTTTTTTTGGTTCTATGATGTATGCTTTCCTGTCCCTTTTCCAAATAATTATGGACGTTATAATTTGTCAAATTGTAAATATTGGACAGAATACAATGCTTCCATCTGGAGCTGAGGAGAAGGAAATGTTATAAATGCTGCTTATTTTAGTGCAGACCTTGGGAACTTGCGGCCTCTCTTCTCTGAAACATGAAATAGGATTTAAAAGCGTTTGTGTACCAGCCTGCACCTTTAAAAAGACAAACAAACTGGAGTCATTGAGAGTGCTGGCTGCACTTGTCACTGGAAGGGAATTTGCATGAGAAAACTGAAACTCTGAGGACAGTTTATGGCCTTGCAAGGCAGGATTTAACTGTATTTGTGTCTCTCTAGCTTTGTTTGGTTTGTTGGTGTTTTGGAGGGTTTTTGTTTTTTTGGTGGGGGTTTCTTAAATACAAAGTAGTTAAACATTTAAAAAAAAAAAAAAAAAAAGAAGCTACTCAGTTTTAGTACCTGCTTGGGGAGTATCAGTGAAGAGTTCAGTTTCCTGGAAATTTTGCAATTTCTACATCACAGTGGTACTGTAAAGGTTAAACATCTCTTCAGTCAGTAGTCAGTGTTACAGTGCTATTCCTGAATACATTCCAGAGTCTGGCAAAGGCTAAATCCCCAGTACATTAGCAGGGTTCACATTGCTGAGCTTTTACACAGAAAAATCATGTCTCTTGCAAGTAAAGTACAGAAACGTTTTGAATGTAGCTTTTGTGTCCCTTTGGCTCCGTAGCTTTGGAGGTGTGTGGCCAGATGATGGCCTCCAGTGCAGGGGGTCTGACTGGGAGGATGAAATGGGTGATTGTTCTTTGAATGTTTTCTACAGGCCTATAAGGGTTGACAGTTTTGTTATGCTGAAGTCTGGCACAGTCCCAGGCTGGTTTACTGTGTGTGCACTGTTTTGCAGTGCTGTGACAAAGCAGGTGTCTATAACAAAACCAAACCCACCTGAAAACCCAACACCACGCCCGTGCCCTGCTGCAGAAGGGCCATCCCATATTAGGTGGAACTTCTAACAAGAGCAGTAAGCATTGGGAACTTGAAGAGGACAGTCCATGTACCCATGGAAGCCTGGGACTCCTGGAGCTGCAGTTAAATTCCAGGTGCATATATTTATTTTTCAAAGTGAGGAAAAATGTTTTGGTATATCCCTTGAAATTCTACTCATTTCAGGAAGATAAGGAAAATATTTATTAGCAAGACAGCAAAAAAACTAAGAAGTAAAAGATGAAACTTAAAATATTCCATTAATTTTCACATAATTATTTACCTGCACTGACAGTGAAGCTTAAATTTAAATTTGTCCTTCAAAGGGTGTTCTTTGCAGATCACACAGCATACCTAGAGCTGTTTCAATTTCATAGCTTTTAGTAGAGAAAAGGGAAAACGTTCATATTTTATCTTTTCACCATCTTTCAAGTGTGTGAAAGGATGTCTATTGAGTTAAACACGGTGGAGCAGTGAGGTGAGATTATATCATTCTTCAAGGATTGCACTTTTTTCATTTTTTGCATGTTAAAAATTCAACAGCTTGTCCATCACACGTCAGCTTTTTTGAAACACAGGTGGAGTATAGAAGATGGTCTGTGTGGATAGGTTATATTTGGGCATGTATTGTGTTTCTTGGACTGTCTCTAACTAGCACTGGCCAAAGGAAAGAGGAGCACTAGTGGTTGAAAAGTGCTGTGACTGTGTAGTGTCTGGCTTCAATTTTTCATGAGTACATTGTATTTTGTATTTGCTGCCTATATCCAGGAAGAGATAAAAAAGAAACCCCAAACCTGGCCTTCACATTTGTTTGAAGTATATTGTGTCCCTCAGTCACCAGGTGAAATTCCCCAGAACTCTCATTTGAAAGCTCCCTGGAATTTGTAATAGTTTTGATTGGTCCTGTCTGTTGAAGAGATGTTGACATAAAGGAAGATATAGGTGTTTTATAAAGGATGCCATCTGCATTTCTCAAATGTTTATGGTCTCATTTCTGCTGTGTAATCTCTGTGATTGATGATTGGGCAACTTAACTGAATGTTAGCTAAAATACCAAGTAAGGTAGTTGTGATTTAAACAAAGCAATTACTCTATGAAATAGATACATTTTTTTCCTGCTTTACAGTACACTCTCCTAAGAATTAGCTGTTTCAGACTAAATGTATGAAAGCAAGGAAAAACAATTATATCTTTACTGTAACAGTAAGAGCTCTGATTCAATATTTAAGAGAATACTTGACTTAAAATAGTAATCTTTCAAGTTTTGCAAAAAACTAGGATTAATGCTAACTTTGTGCAAAACAAAAAAAGTAAGAAACAGCATCTTTGTCCTTTTTACCCATTACTGTGCAACATCTTTGGTTTGAACAGGTGTGTATGTTTATACCTGAGACAGATCTTTTACTGTGAGTTAGCGTCGAATACACCGAGTGAATGTTTTGGGCAGTGGCAGGCGGTGGGTGCAGTGGGAGCAGGGCAGAGGCCCATGGGGCCACTGGCATGGCAGGTACCAAGCCTGGGTGCTTGGTGGCTCATGGCTCTCTGGTCTGGGCCATCCCTCCCCTCAGCACCTTTTGCTCCAGACACCCCTCAGGAAAGAAAAGACTTAGGCTTATGTGGAGCAAGTTGCCCAGAGAAGGTGTGGATGTCCCATCCCTGGAAGTATTAAGGCCAGGTTGGATAAGGCTTGAGCAATCTGGTTGCTTGCAACCCTACCCTAGCAGAATCAGAGAATCATAGAATCAGCTGGGTTGGAAGGGACCTCTGAGATCATCAAGTCCAACCCTTGATCCAACACTGCCGTGGTCCCAGCCCATGGCACTGATGCCACATCCAGTCTCATCTTAAAAACCTCCAGGGACAGAGAATCCACCACTTCCCTGGGCAGCCCATTCCAGTGCCTGATTACCCTTTCTGTAAAGAATTTCTTCCTAATATCCAACCTAAACCTCCCCTGGCACAACTTAAGACTGAGCCCTCTTGTCTTACTGATCGTTGCCTCGGAGAAGAGACCAACTCCCACCTGGCTACAGCCTCCTGTCAGGGAGTTGTAGAGAGTGATGAGGTTTCCCCTGAGCCTCCTCTTCTCCAGACTGAACAACCCCAGCTCCCTCAGCCTCTCCTCGTAGGACTTCACCAGAAGGGTTGGAATGAGTTGATCTTCAAGGTCCCTTCCAATGAAACCATTCTGCGATTCCATATTCTGTGATATGATATGTGATATATGATTCTGTGATAAGCACTAGTACAAATACAAGGGAGGAAACAATTACCAGTGGTGCTTTCTAGCAAGGCAGCTTAATAAAAGTTATATCTTGACCTAAGATTCATTTCCACTAGTAAACTTGTAGGAGTTTCATATTAAATGTACTAAGAGGGCTTACAAATGCAATTTGTAACAATAAAATCACTACCGACTCCCCGTAGCAGCTTTCTTTCAGGTGCATGGGCAGTGATTTCACTTGGCTTTAAACCCTGTACCTCCTTTAAAATCCCTATGAATAAAGAAATAAAGAAAAGACCAGGATGGGTTCAGAGATCCAGGTTCACTACATTAGGACATTCTCTGGAATTCTATGAGCTGCAGAAGAAAATCAGTATTATCTGTAAAGTACCAAATGTGACCCACAACTGTGGCTTCTAGTGTCCTCTGCCAGTAGCACGGACAAATTAAGTGAAATTTAGCTGCATTAACCCCTGTCAAGCTCCAGAAAGTGTCCTGGTGAGAAGCTTGCTCTGTGCTCCATGATTAACTTCCTGCCTTTTTGCTTTCTACATTACTGATCCCTTGAGTTCTTGGCTGAGTGCACTGGAGCCATTAAAACCTAGGTGGTATGGTTTCAGTGTTGTTTAGCAAAATTGGTCCTGGCAGCATTAGTCTGTGGGGAAAAAAATGGGGGTGGGATGGGGGGGCGTGGAATGACCTTTTATTATTTTAACAAAGTGATCTTGGCCTATGATATTTAGGGGAAAACAAAGAATCAGGAGGATTTAGTTTAGTTATTCTGTGGTTTTGCCTGCAGTAATGGATGGCTACAGCACTGCCTTTTACTGAAGGAAATATCTCTGTGTATGTATCTGAAAATCTTAAAGTATACCTAACGAGAAGTTCTAAACAGATGATTAACAAAGAGGTTCTTTCTACAGCATCCTGATTTGTCCTGGCTTCTCCACAGGGACAAATTACTCTATTGGTAGTTTTTTCCTAAACCTCCTGTATGCTACATAGTGTGAGTTGGCTACACTACTCACTTTTCACTGGTCTAGGTGTTTGATCCCTTTTAGTCTCTGCTGATGCTTTCAGCAGATGCCATGGAAAACCTCAGCCCAGATGGTTAAGGTTTACTGAAGTTACAAGCAAGTGAAACACTCTTAGAGAGAGGTGCAAGGTAGAGTTGCTCCAGCTGTGCTCTGGGATCATGGAATCACAGAATCACAGAATGGTTTGGGTTGGCAGGGGACTTTGAAGGTCACCTAGTTCCAAGCCCCCTGCCATGGGCAGGGACACCTTCCACTAGACCAGGTAGCTCAGAGCCCCATTCAGCCTGGCCTTGAACAGCTCCAGGGATGGGGCATCTACAGCTTCCCTGGGCAACCTGTTCCAGAGCCTCACCACCCTCACAGTAAATAATTTTTTCCTAATATCTAATCTAAACCTACTCTCTTTCAGTTTGAACTCATTCCCCATTGTCCTGTCACTACATGCTCTTATAAATAGTCTTGCTTCATCTTTCCTGTAAGTTCCCTTCAGGTATTGGAAGGCCCCAATTAGATCACCCTGAAGCCTTCTTTTTCCAGGCTGAACAATCCCAATTCTCTCAACCTTTCCTCATACAAGATGTGCTCCATCCCTCTGATCAGCTTGGTGGCCTCCTCTGGACTCGCTCCAAAAGGTCAATGTCCTTCCTGTGTTGGGGACTGCAGAGCTGGATACAATATTCCAGAAAAATTAATACATGCATTTCTGATATACTCTTAACAAAAAATACCCCTTTCAAATGGTCTTCCATTCAACTTCTGCATTAAAATTCCGTTAGCGCAATGTTTTGCTGAATTTTATCATAAAGATTGCTTGTCATCCATGCAAACTCAGGGACCCCATTTTAGGTGATTGACTGCAGGACTGAGAGCATATTCACAAAAGCATAGAAGTCCCATTAACTTCAGACTTCTACTATGTCCTGAGTTTTGATGCTAGAGCAGCTAAGCACTTGTTTTCTCTGCTTCTTCCCTTTCAGAACGCCAGTACTGGGGCTCAGACCTTCAACTTCCCAAAATACCTTTTGAAGAAATCATGTACAACGATGAAAGTGCATACAAGTGGCTGTGCACCCTAAAGAAAGTAGGAATCGTTCTACTGACGGGAGCTGCTACAAGGCAGGGAGAATTGATTAAACTTGGCCACAGGATTGGGTTCCTGCGCCTCACTTTTTATGGGTGAGTTTGGTTTTTAATATCTTTGCTTTGCGAGCTTTGTAATCACCTCCAATGTTCTGCATTTAAGCTTGCTGGATCTATTTTGTGGATTAAGTTATTAAAGCAAGGTGTATGGTTTTTTTCTCTGTATGTTAGAGAATCTGGCATCAAGTTTATGTTCTGTACAAGAGGATTGCTTCGTTGTCGCTGGCAGGGCAGAAAGATGTAAAGAAGAGCAGCGATAACGTTAACTGCTGAGAGGAGGAGAAGCACCTGAAAACAGATGATGTCAAATATAAGATAACAAAAAGATAGAGCTACTTATCTATCCCATGGAACAAAACTAAAAATCCCTAATCCACTCCCCTTCTGAAAAGAGGAAGTTATCTGTACTGAGACTTTTTCTTAGTCTGGTTTGGAGTCACAGAAATAGGTAAGGCTTAGATGATGCTATTGTGTCTCACGTCACCAAGAATATGGGCAGAGTACCCCCTTCCCTGCTTTCAACAGAGTCTGCTCTGAAAAGCCATAACCAATCCCAACAAGCAGAGCTCAGTTGCAGGAGTGCAAGCAGGAACTTGTGAATCATCCTTTTGATGCCAGGAGGGAGTAAACTGCACCTCTAACTCCTCAAGCACCTACTAGATGGGTGGACAAACGAGGATGGCAGCTCACATCTTGCTGAGCTGAGTCAGTGATCTCCATCTAGCTGACTAAAGAAGCACTGCTATTAGCTAATAGGTATAATAATTTTCATCTCTGGAACAGGATTTAATTTCTTATTGGCATCCAATTCTGGGGTGGCTTTTACAACTGTAATAAAATAATAACTTTGGGTAATTTCCTTGCTGTTTCACTGGCAGTCAAATACCAGGCCTACCGAATATTATAAATAAAAGGATAAACCTGGAATTGGCAAGCTTGCCAAATAAAACATTACCTCAGGGCCATGAATTTTAAACTAAAATGTAACAGAAATTAATATAATTCTGACACATGGGGAAAAAATAAAAGCCTTTTTTCTTGTCTAGATGTGTGCTTGGTGCAAGCTCCCTAAAATGTCATTACTGTAAAAAGTGGAAACATTCTCTGTAGCAGCCATATGACAACATCAAGGGTTTCCATGCTTTTAAATTAACCTTTTTCTTTCCCTTATGGAGGCCCAACTCCATTAACAAAGTCTCCAGTCATAACACAGTTAATTTCTCCAACTTCTCATGCTCTGAACCTTGTGTTCCTCTGTTCTGAAGCCTTGTCCAGTCCTTGGTGTGGCACAACAGCCATCCTTTGGAGTGCCAGCACTCCCATGGAAACAGCCAATCCATCTGTATATCCCAGAGGGCTTCGGTGGCAAGGGGACATGGGCCCCAATTCTCAAATGAGTGAGACATGGACTTTTAATGAAGTGCAAGACCAGATGATTCAGATGTGGCTTCAGTTGCCAGTTCGGCAGTTTTGCAGGACTAAGGATGTAACAGCCTGTTTTTCTGCTCAGGGATACTGAGCCCCTGTTGCTACTTAATGCAAAAGATTGCTACATCTGCTTGGTGCCAATTTTCCTGCTCTGTCAAACAGCCTGAGCAACGGGCTTTGAAATCTGACCCTAATTACTAAACCACAAACCATTCCACCCACCTTTGCTCTCCCTAAGGGCCAAGAGTCCTCTGGCATTACCTGCATATTCTTCCCTTACTTCTTGTGTGCTCTCCTCATGGCCGAGTTGATGCTTCAGCTCAGTTGAGACTTAGACAAAGTGAAGTTGATTTTTTCACATTCAGTGCTGAGCTCCCTATTAGCATCTCTGACTTCAAGTCAGTAACTTGAACTTTGACCAGAGCTCTCTGTACGGAAGGAAAGCTCCAGGGGACCAGATCCCCTCACAAACTCTTTTGCACAACCTTATAATGATTTTATAGAGTATTACCACTCCAGCAATTTTATATATTGCATATAAATGAGAAAATTAAAATGTTTTCATTTTTTTTTAGAACCATCAAGTGACATTGTAGCCTATTAAATTAAAGATGGAGCAAACCTAACTGCCCTCAACACTAAGCACAAGGATGATATAAGGGGCTGGTTTTTAGCTGTCAAATTTGGAACTGTGGAAGTGTGGTTGAAATTATCATACTTGAGTAGTGAGGTCATCTAGTGATGAATATTTGCTGTCCCAAATAATAAAAACTATTTCTCCCAGGCAGTTAAACACGTTTGCAAATATTCAAGGGGCTTTTCCCTCTGGCAAGTGAAGAAATTTAGTTTTAGGATTTTGCATAGTTTCTATACTAAATACCACTCAAAACTGACAAACAAAAGCATTTGTATCCTGTATATGAATAATTTTTGTCCGCATATTCTCTAGCATATTTTCTTTTTAAACTGTTATTAAGAAGTAAAGCTAGACATACACCATCTGAAACCTAATATATTTGGTCTATAGTATTTCACAAGGGAAAATGAGTTTCATAATTCCTTTTAAACCACTTACATGCCTGCAATTACATGGGCTGCATATGGTGACCTACACCTTTTCAGACATATGTCTGTAGCTATAATATGCATCTGCTGAGGACTGTCTTCAATCCTATGAACTTTGTACAAACAAAACCTGTGGTTCTTGGTCTTAAATCCTCCTGCACGGTGTGTCACTGGAAACACATTTTGTTTGTGCTGCAAGGTGACACATTCACGTCTTCGTCATATCACCGTCACCTATTTTTTTCACTGCAGTTGTCAGAAAACATTTTTACTGAATTTTGTCAAATTCCAAGACAGAAACTGTGTAACCAAATAAATGGGGCTAGAGTGTGTCAGCAAAAGGGAAGAAGTTTCAAAGTCTTTCATCCAGACATTTTCCTCCAGCGGCAAGTCTTCCAGTTACAGGAAAGATTCCCCTGCAGAGATAGATGCTCTATATTTTCTAAGGTTATAAAGTCTTAAAAATAAGTTTTGGGGAAAGTTACATAGCCTTTATCAATTTTATACTTCCTTGATAATGTGCTACATGTGGCAGAGGAAAGTGGAAGGTTGATAAAAAGGAATGGGCCAACTTCAACTTGCTTCTTTCTGAAGCCTCAGCACTAAGATGATGATTTCTCCTGGCAGAAGCCTCTTGGTTTGTCTCTTCAACTGACCTTTACATTCAGCAAAGAGCCACCACTGGAAAGCCATTGTTCTTCTAGGTACTGCACTGGGGACAGATGTCTCTTGGCACACTGAAGTTTATCTAGGACTGCTGAAATAAGCCTTTGTTGGGGTGGAGGGACACTGCTAAATCCTGATTTCTTTATAATGTTACAATATTTTCATGTGCAAAGGTGAAATTACTCTTTTCTGCTGTGATTTCACAGTTTCAGTGTGTGCTGTCTGGCATGCTGTTCCAACATGTTTTCTCTTTTCCCTTTCATTATAAAGGCCAACTTGGCAAGTGCAAGACAAAGCAGATGCTAACAATGTAGCTTATACAACTGGGAAACTGTGTTTTCACACTGATTACCCTGTTCTGCATAATCCACCTGGGGTGAGTTGAATCTACTGACTTTTTAAGCCCAGAAAAGGGGAAAGGGAAATGTTCCTATAGTGTGAAATATGTTTAGCGTTCAGTGACTCTGAGTTTTGTCTTTAAAGAGCAATATAAAAATAACAATGTATTAATACACATATAATATAATATATACACATGGGCATGCAATATATGCAGTATGATGTAAGTTCAGCATAATAAGCCCCTTATATGTCCCATAATGATTAAATTAAATTCACAAAGTGTTGAAAATATTACCATATGAGAAAACTTTAGAGTCGTGTGTTTGCTTTGAATACTGCTTTCCTTATATTACAAAAGGTAGCTGTCTAAATGCTATAGTCAAGTTGTGACTTTTTAGGACTCATCTGTTCAGTTCAGGAGAGGAATAGAGGAAGAAATGTTATTAAGGTGGTGTACTCTGTTTTCTGTGAATTGATACAAGATAGACACTTGTTTGCCCTTTTGTAACAGACAAAAAAAAAGGGCCATTCTTTAAAACTGGACAACCACAAAAAATATGTTTTCACCCAGTCGCTGTCATATCAAAGTGTAGTCTACATAATTCACATAATTCCAGAGAACTGGAAAGTAGTAGAAACAGGTAAAAAGAAACAAAGACAATGCTGGAAAAGTTTGCACCTATAAAACTTCCCCTTCTCTTGCTGTGGAGTACTTTGTTGTTTCTGTGCTTAAAGAAAAAGCCAACGTGATTTACCCACAGGTAAGAGCTAAATTCTTCACACTAAGATTGCCTTTTCATCATTTAGATACTGTTGATGTAGAGTAAGAATGGAACAGCTCTTCATTAATAGAGAGCAGATGTGAATTATCTCATTGTCCAGTCTGTGCCAAAGCTCACACTCTACTATGAAACATGAGAAAAAGAGCGTAACGTTTTTCATTCAAACGTGCTTGTAAGAAATAAAAGTATTAAAGTACATTGAATTGTTTATGAACATTGTCCCAAACGTGCAGTTTTCTTTACATATCTAGCTATTACACAATACTTGAATTCTTTAAACGTATTTATTACAAATATGTGAAGGCCTGTGTTTAAATGGATAATGATTAATTTCAGAACTGTCCCATAAAAATTGTTTTAGGATTTTCTAGGACCGTAACGTGACTTACATTACTGCAGCCCTCCTTAGCAGGGCCAAGCTGTGCTTACCCTGTGCAAGGCCAGCTGTGGCCACAAAAGAACTTGTTGCCTTGTGCTCCCTTCAGTGGTAGCCCTATGCCCTGCCCACAGCTTCAGTTTCCCCCCTCATCACCATCAGCAAGGTCTGTGGGTCCAGCTGGTAAGGAGAACAAACCTTCTCTGCTCCTCTTTCTCCTACTGAGGTTTGTTCTGGGTTTGTTTTCTTCTGTTTGTTGTGGGTTTGTTTTGTTCTGTTTGTTGTTTTGCTTTTAGTTTTTTGGTTGTTTTGGTTTGGTTTTGGCTTTTTGTTGGGTTCTTTTTTAATTCTCCTAGTGATCTCAGAAATAATTCACCAGCATGGAAGGGAGGCCAAGTGACAAAGGTAACAACCTTTGGTGTGATGGGTCGTTTGCAAGCTGAGTGATTACACTTTGGGTGATGCTGGACTCTCTACAGCCACAGGGAGTTTTACTGCTTGTGTCAGCAGCTCAGACTTACACCAGTGCAACCTAGAGCCCAGTTTAGGCTTTGTGCTCCATCCTACACCTTGGCAAATTCACTCTGAAGTGAAATGAAACTGTCTTAATTGTACTTTATGAGAGAGACACTGGGCCTGTTGCCTTCTCTGACAGCCACCTTTTCCCTCTATGAGTGGATAGTTCACAGCAGGTGTTGTTTTTGCAGGACAAAGCTAAACCTCCTTTTTGACATAAGACCTCAATGCATTTAAAAGTATGTGACTGCCACAAAGAGGGACTCAAAGGAAAGAAGCAAGACCATTTTGCCACTGATTTACAGGTTGCAACCATTAGAGTATACTTAAAAGGGGATGGATTTATGAACATGCTGCTTTAATTTTCTTCCTTTGTGGTAGAGGTGGCAGAGTGTTGTGAAGCTGCAGTGAATGGGAACTCAGGCTTTCACTGGGAAAACAACAACAACAACAACTCAAAAAAAAAAGAACCACAGCTATGAGGGAACTGATACTAATGAGCTGTTAAATATGCAAGCTAATTACTTTTTTAAACGAGCCGTTAATTCATTCCAGGTCCAGTTTCTCCATTGTATAAAGCAAACAGCTACAGGAGGTGAAAGTGAGGTTGTAGATGGATTCCATGTATCCAACAATCTGAAGAAACAAAATCCTGAGGCATATCAGATCCTGTCCTCTACTGCTGTAGACTACACTGATGTTGGGGTTGACTTCTGTGATTTTGCTGTGCACTGTAAACAAAGGATTATAGAGTGAGTAGTTTCAACAAGACCTAAAAAGAAAATCCCTGTTGTGTTGTGTATTACATTTTGGTAGAAGAAGGTCTGCTCCTGCCACCTTGTGGGAAAACACTGGTTTAACTTGGTCTGCAGTTTTGGATTTTGGTGGGGTTTTCTGTTTGTGGGTTTTTTGCCAATGTGTGACTTGTTCTGTGCATTGTTCCACTTATTTGCAAGAAGTGGTGATAATTAGAGCAACTCCTTGGCACAGGCATGGGTTAGCAGCACACAAGTCTGTTACTAAATGCCAGCCAATGTGACATCTGTATAATGCCAAAGAGAGGCCATAATTTGAAACATTTAGATTAAGAACTACATACTATCAAAAGATTAAATGCAAACGTTCATATTCTTTTCTGATTTTAAAAAGTTTAACATTCTACAATTAAAGGGTACGTAATATAGATTTTTTTGTGAATTAAGTGTCTACACTTTCTCCTGATTATCCCTTTTCCTGATTAGGTTCAATTATCAAAATTCAGCCCAATAACAATCTGACTTTCACTACTGAAACATACTGACATTCCAGCAGGAGAGCTCAGTTGTTGTTTAACCATGTTACAATGTTTCAATAATATCAGAATACCTTTCTTTCCCTTCCCTTCCCTCCTTCCCCTTCCCTTTTCCTTTCCCTTTCCCCTTCCCCTTTTCCTTCCCTTCACCCTTCCCTTCCCCTTCCTCTTTTTCTTCCCTTCACCATTTCCTTGCCTTTTTCCCTTCCCTCTGTTTCATAGCATAGATTCCAGAGGCCAAGCAGTTCGCATCAATTATAATAATGCAACAAGAGACACCGTGTTTGACATACCAGCTGAAAAAGTGAGGCCATTTTATGCAGCTCTAAAGGAATTTAATGATTTATTAAGCAGTGCAGAACACAAGTTTACTTACAAGATGAAACCAGGTCAGTAAGTTGCTTCTCCTCTCAACAATTTTCCACGTGTTCTTCCTGACTGTCAAAACCCTTGAGCATTGTTAGCACTGGTACTGAGAGGAAATTTCAGTCCTTCTCTCGACTGTTTTATTTCATACTGCAGTCTTAAGCTCATCTAATAGATTACTTTTGCCATTGTTACATTATAAAGAAATAAAAATAGGGAGTAGAGTCTTTCTGTTGATTAGTCCAATGTGTCTTCATGCAACATCCAAAACTACATTTTATACACATACAGTATTGGAAATTGATATGTCAATAGCACCACAGATGGGAAATATATTTCTTGTTTCATTCCCCAGCTATAAAATAAAGATATGAATAGTCCCTCATCTCTCAAGAGATGTTACAAAAGTGGATTCATTAGTGTATCTGACTGCCTCATACTGTGATGTTAGTGTCTTTAAAATGTTTATGAGGAAATTAATCTCTTGCTCTTGGGAACATGCAATAAAATAATGTGTAAGATCACATAATAAACAGTGAAACAAAGTACCTAACATTACATTAGTGACATCCATCCTATTGACTAATGCACCAAAATGGTGGTAGAGGGAATTGGGAGTAGAAAAGAAAGATTGTAAGGTTATTTAATTAGAGATTTATCATAACGGTGGCACACAAGAGAGAAAAATTACATTTGCATTCCAACCTTGATTCAGTGATTTCCTAACTTTCAATGGCTTGACTTTGTTCTCATAGAATTCTCTTAACAGGGATAGTAGCACAGGATGTGTATTGTACAAATAATACCAGACTGATCAAATAAAAAGCATCCGAGTGGCTTTCACCCATTTTATTTATTTCACACGTTTTTATTTCCCCTGTGTGGATTTGCTGTAGTTGTCTTTCTCCTCAAGGCTTGCTTTTCTCAGCATGTGCTCTCTACCACTCTGCTTTTCAAATCCTGGTTATACAAGTAAAGAGACGTCAGAAAGGCCCCGCCCTCTGGTTGAGAATGACCAGCTAAGTTAAAATTACTGTGTTGTTGGTGCGTATCTCCAGCTGAGCTACTTGAAATTACTGCTCCCTAACTGTTGATGTGAGCCTACCTCCCTGTCTGTTTGAAGGAACCCACTATGACATTCCAGCTACTGAACTCGGTGCGATCTCTTTCCAGGAGACATAGTGACGTTCGATAACTGGCGTGTGCTTCACGGTCGCCAGAGCTACCCCTCGGGTTCAGGAGTGACACGTCACCTGGAAGGTGCCTATGCAGACTGGGATGTGGTCCTGTCACGGCTCCGGCTCCTCAGGAAGAGGGTCCTGAACAGGGATTGAGTTTCCTTCGGACTGGAAGGAGCGAAACATAGATTGTCTAACCTCGATGACAACGACGACGGAATCAAAAAATTGAGTCTTCTTTTCAGAAACTAACATTGCTTTTGACAAGGGCTTGTCATTGAACAAGGGGAATGGCTTTAAACTGACAGAGGGGATGTTTTGATTAGATATTAGGAAGAAATTCTTTACTGTGGGAGTGGTGAGGCCCTGGAACAGGTTGCCCAGAGAGTCTGTGGATGCCCCATCCCTGGAAGTGTTCAAGGCCAGGTTGGGTGCTGCTTGGAGCAACCTGGTCTAGTGGAAGGTGTCCCTGCTCATGGCAGGGGAGCTGGAACAAGATGATCTTTAAGGTCCCTTCCAATCCAAACCATTCTATGATTCTATCATAAATATATTTTTGAGTTCTATAAGCTAAGAAATGTGTTCATAACAATTTAAGATTTGCCTGTGCCTTGGTCTTTGAATCTATAAATGTATTGCTACCTCTGTCAGTTTATTTGCTTTTTTTAAAATCAGTGTGCAAAGTGGCTTGAAAGGTTGTCACTTTACTGGGCTGACTGGGTATCACAATGCCTTCCTTTGCCTCTACATATGTACCTGCCCTCCCTAGAAAGCTTGGAAGGCAGCATGAGAAAAGAACTTGAAGTGTTATTTGCTGAAGTTTTGTTATAAACAGCACCTTCCTCTATTTTCAGAGAGGCATTCTTTATTGCATAAATCATAACTAAAATTCACTATCAAAATAAACAACCAGTGCTGTAGTTTTTAAATACACACTTTCAAGGTAGGACTTCACTCTAATACATGATCTCACTGAACAGATGTCATATTCTCTATATCCTGCTGTACATATCATGACTATCACAGCCACAAATATTTTTTCTTACATTTCCAAGTCCATAAGCTCAGAAACCATAGACTTACGAGAGATTGCATCATATTAATGTTTCTCTGCATTAGGATGATAAATAAATCTCAGTGTAGAGGTCACAGATAGGGTCAGAAATCCCACCAGATGCTGTGCACAGACCTAAGATCTGCACAGCAAACTTCTGAGTAATGTCAGGAGGAGGAACACAGAAGCTGCCTGGTGGCTAGAAACCACAAAGCACAAGAGGTTATGGACTTTGCATGTGACAGAGAGAGGCAAGTGAACCCAAATCATTTTTGTTACTCCAGATAAAAGAGGACACCTCCAAAAGGTGTACAGGATGTTTTCCTCTGCTCTGGATTCTGATTAGAGATTATGTAAAACTTACTGCAGCCAAAGTAGTGTGGTTTTTCCCTATATTCAGATGCCAAATGGAAAGAGAAAGAATTTCCAAATACTTGTTTTTGTACTTAACAATCCTGAGTTTATTTTTCAATGTCCTTACAGCTGCAGAGGTAACAGGACGCCTCTCGCCATGCTGCGAGTTGGACAAAACAACCCCACCTCCACCCTCTGATCTCTCTGTTCAACTCTGTATTTTCAAAGTGTTCCCTCCAAGTCAAATAAATCCTAGTCTCTTCCTAGAGGAGTAACACAATAGAACCATAACTAAAGAATTAAATAACTGTAGAATTAAAATAAGGCCAGGTTCGATGGAGCTCTGAGGTACGTGGTCTAGTGGAAGATGTCCCGATAGCAGGAGAGTTGAAACCAGATGATCTTTAAGGTCCCTTCCAACCCAAACCATTCTATGATTCTGTGACCTAACATCAGCTTGCAAACACTTTCATAGCTTCTACTCATCATTTAGAGTCAACAGATACCAGCTAAATAATCAGATAAAATGCCTCAATTAGGCATTGCTCACAGTGTGGTTTGAATTCCTCTTTATTAAATAGTGAAGTGTTTTTATCAAAGTTACAACATTACGTGATAGTGTAACAAAACTTTTTTTAGGGGTAATTCAATTTCTCAGTGCCTCCTTTAATAATTAATTTTGGAAACATGAGGAAAGTATTTTTTTCTCTTTGCTATGAAAGAGGGAAAAGCTGAGGAAGGGTTAATACCTATATTCCAGCAGTGCTGTGCTTTAACTGTGATATTTTCTGTATAAAAATGGATTGAAGATTGCAATTTATACCTGTAAAACAAGACATCTTGTGATTTATACCAATTGTTAATACGAAAGAGATTTTCTGCCTTTATTCTGTACTTTTCCAAACACTTTTATTCAAATTTCTGTTTATTAAAAGCTGTTATGGCACTGATTACTGTTTTGGGCTGGTATCTAATCTCACATGTAACATCCTGCACACAGATATAAAGTCATTATTGTTAGTTACAAATATTTGTAAATATTATTAATCTGGATCCATTCAGGTTTGTCCTATGTACTTAACCTAATAGTTAAAATATAACTAAGCCCATAGCTTTGAACAGGTTAATCCCTGTAACACCTCCATGAGCAATGGCAGTTTAACTGGAAAAGGGTCAGACTACCCACACAAACCCTTCTTCTCCCATTGCATTTTGTAGCAGTGGATGCTGGATCCAATCCCATGGCACTTTTCATGTATAATTTTTTAAATAATTTTATATATATATATATATAGCAGATTTCCAGCTAGTTTTTAAAGCTTGCTGAAAGTAAGTAGCATCTTGGGCATATCAATACCTTTCTGTGGATCACTTCAGCAGAGCTCCACTCCAGCCACTGCTGAGCTACCTGAAGCATGTGCCAACTAACTTGTTTTGCTGGTGGACAGTAAACCAGATTCCAGAGAGATCTCCAAATGCCAATCATGGGAAGAAAACTAGGTTAGCTGCCCACCTTTTCAAGTTGAAATATATTGAGATATATAGATATATATATATATATGTCCAGATAGATCTAAAATGTTATTTCTGTATATATATACATAGAGGGTCATGTTACCCAGAGGCATAAAGGCAAATGCAGTCCTGTTTCACATTTGAGCTGTACAGGCTGTGATAAAGTCACACTTTTGTAAATTCAAATATGTATTTATTATGTACTGTGTTTTTCTGTGATACAGATCAGATAAAGTACTTAGTGATCTTGTCTCAAATTCTCCTTAAGGCAAATGACTTTTTATTTATAAAGCTGGCTGTCAGGGCAAGTCCATATTTGGAAGTTTCCTGGTGGAAATCTGAAATCACTTTTGTTCAAATCTAACATAAGCGATATATTTTAATACACACATTTTAAACATACAGCAAAATATCCCCCCCCACCTGGTTTTGCCAGTCCAGCAGTGCAAAAAAAGATGGTAAAGACTGAGACACAGACAGAACACAAAAATCGCCTTTAAAACAAACAAACAAACAAAACCCCCAACCAAAGAAAAATTCCACACCAGAGCAAAACAAAAATAAAAATGAAAATAAATCACAACCCATAAGAAACCTGTTTTTCTAGACAACATCTGACTGAAGTTGAAAAGCCTGGGAATTAGCTACATCACCTATAGAAAATACCCATAATGTAAAAATTTAACTAAAGCAGAGATGGGGCAGCTCTATAGGGGCTTTCTGCTGAAACCATTCTCATTATTGGACATGGAGTGAGACACCAGAGAAGGGAGTGAGGGCATTTTGCAGCTACCCTTTCCACCCTGGTGCTGGAGCTGTGAGGTCCAAGGTGTGGGCAGGGGGGCAGTGCTGGTCCTCCTTGAGTCACGAGGAAGGGAGAGATGCATCTCCCAGCCTCCTGCAGCATCTTCTGCAGGATGGTGCTAGGGAACAAGAGAAGCAGCTGCAGCAAGAAAATGAGCCACTGTTTTCCCTGGCTACTTAAAAGCAGATCCATGGCAATTCAATGGCCCCAAGGCTGCCATTCATTGGTGTCAAGGGCATGTGGTCAACCAAAGGATTAGGAGCTGCTTTTTTTTTAGGGTACGAGCTGGCTTAGTCAGCAAAATATATTTAAAGTCAAATGTTTTATGTATTCTTAATTATTTTTAATATCAAAGGGGCCAACAGCTTTAGAGCAGGCAGAGGATTTTCTTTGTTGCCATGCCATGATACAAGTGTCAGGCCATTAGCTCAAGCAAAATAAGCCAGGAGGTCTAAACATGTGGATTGCAGAAGGTGGTTGCTCTGTCATCCTTCCTTTCCAAGCAGCCAGGAGGTCTAAACATGTGGATTGCAGAAGGTGATTTCTCTGTTGTCCTTCCTTTCCAAGCAGCCATTTGGATCAATAACTACTTACATTGGCAATAATCAAGCTATGCCTCTCTTTCAAGTTATATTTGGGTGCATTCAAAGCAGTGAAGATCACAGACCAACAGACATGGAGAAGATACAGCAGTTTTCAGACTATGGCATACTCAATTTCTGAAGTCTGGGCCTGCTGTTTTTCTTTAATCAAGTGGGAATGTTGTTAGGAAAATGTGCTGGGGGCCATACAATGACCCTGAAGGCAGCGGGCGAGGAGCAGCTGCTGCAGTGAGTGCTGCAGTGGGATACCTTTGAAACACTGCTCGCAATGCAGAAGCTGGTTAACTCCCCACAGCATGGCTGGAAATCAGCAGGACACAACTCCCTTGCTTCCAGCCACACCAGTCCATAGCTGTCTTCCATCCTTTGTTGTCTTCAATGCTGTGCTCACAACTGGGCTTTCCCACGCTGCTCCCTTGCAACTTGGCTTTTGGTTTCATAAGCAAACACATGAGACCAGGGCAAGCAGGAGGAAAATCCTATCTGTTCACTTTCTTGGCTCTTCTACAAGACTACCAAGTAAAACAAATGCTGCACAGCTGAAACACATAATTATTTTTTGGCAAGAACTTAGTAGGATCTTTTCCTCAGCTTTTGCCTTTCCCCCATGCCACGTGTCAGTCGTTCTCTTGCTGGCATACCCTACAAGGAAAGGGAGGCAATTCTGTGCATTGTATATGCAGCTTCTCCCTGACTTCATCACTTCCCTTCCCTCACAGTGGCATCCCTTTGCCCAGGGGCATGCAGTCCACTAGATTCTGTAATACGGTGTCACGGTTTATGAATGGTTTTCTCCAATTTAGTGCTCCTACTAAAACCACGCACCATTTCCTCTCCTCCCTCCAATTAGAGACAGAAAATGCAAAGATCACGGGTTGAGACGAGAACAATTTCCTGGAAACAGCACTGAGATGAGAAAATGAACATTAGCAATGACTGTATTGACAACAAAAGGTATAAGAAAAGAAACAATTTACATGGATATCCCCCAACAGTAAGCAAGTACCTGGCCACTCTGTCCACCATGCTTTCAACTGGAAGGGACCCCTTCTCC